AAGAACATGCCAGGCTAGTTCTCCCATCATTCAGTCCTTGTTCCTGTCTTACACCTGGAGCCGGTCCCTGGAAGCTGGAAACAGAGGATGAGATTCCCTGCAGAGATCAATAAATAAAAAAATAACAATAATAATCAATATAAATTGATTGTGATTTACCTGCAACTCTAATCTTTGGCTGGTTAGATGCATGTGTAGCCCTCATTTTTCAATATCACGGTTAACAGCACATTTCCATGTAGACTTTAGTGCTAGTTTGTTTACCTACTCTTGTTTCCCTGCCGGGGCTCAGCCTGCCAGCATCTGCGGATCAAACGCAGACACATCCCTCCAGCCATCTGAGATGAAAAGGAGCTTTTATATTATAAAAAGCTATTAAAGATACAATGATGGTGACAGTGTTTCAGGGTGGAAAATTACTTAACATGATTTCAATTCGACTTGAAGGCATTTGGGTTCAAAGAGAAAGACTTGAAAGTGCACCTTGGCCCAAAAACACAAAATCATTAACTTTCAATTACATATATATATTACTAAATCACCATGATTGTCATCCCAAGGCACTTTTCACAGTAAGGTAAATACCTTTCAGTATTTTAGATGGAAACCTCTATGACATAACTATTCTCTATGAGCAGAAGGAACCTTTTAACAGTAGGACGTCTCCGGTAGAAGCAGACTCTGGGAGGGCAGCCATCTGCCGCGACTGCTTAGAAAGACAAGACAGAAAAGAAGATCTTAGAGAGACAAGAAACAATAGAACAATAAATGCTCGACAGGTTGCATCTTAAGTACAGAACATGCAGTTCTCCATATACCTGCAGAAAGTGAAGGAGGAGAGAACACAGCACAAGCAGGAGGGAGACGATATATAGGTGCACCTTTGTAGAGACTTTGCTAACAGTTTTCAGATTAAAGCGTGCAGGCAGCAGTGGCTGCTGTCACCTGTAGAGCTGGATGATTGTTCAAATACTTTGGGGACAGACACTGAACTCGGCCCATCACAGGGGAAATCTGCCTGCTGATTTTTTTTTTTTTTTTTTTTTTTGATGATGATGATGAAATTTCCTCGAGGTAAAAAAGTGCACAAAGTAATTTAAAATTCATTTAGAGTCAAAGCCAGCACAATGTTCCTGAGCTGCTTTTTGTCCCTCACGAGTGCCATTAAACCTGCTTCTCACTGGGACTCAACCAGTTCCTCACATGGGTCATTAAAACCTGCTTCGCCTCAACCAGCAGGCTCAGCCGGAGTCCCCTCAGTCCTTCTGAAAAATAACATTTTATTTCAGTTCTTTATTCTTCAGACAAGTAAGAGGGTGGATTCAAATAATTTATTTTTTATTTATGTTTATCTTTCCTGGAAAACTCAAAAGTGATGCATGATTTATTAAAAGCACTTCAGAGAATAAACTGCTGATCGGTATTTGTATGTTTGTTTTGTGGCTTTTTATGTTTGCATTCTTTGTCTTTGTGTTTGTTTGTTTGTAGTTCTTTGTTTTGAAGGAAAACTCAAACTGCCCAAGATAAGTGGGTCAACCCAGCACTGCATAAAAGAAACCATCTATGTGAGGCAGTATTGCATATCCTCACTGGCTTTGTTTTATGTTACTTTACTGACCCTGTATTTAAATTCGGGTCCAAAAATGCAAATGATGATGCAGTTTTTGTAATTGTGCCTTTGCATGTCACAGCAGTGAGTTTTAAATCAAACAGTCAAGATGTGACTGAAGTGCAGGCTTTCAGCTTCAATTCAAGGGGTTTAACAAAAGTATTGCATTAACTGTTGAGGAATTATAGACATTCACAGTCCCCTGTTTTTCAGAGACTCTAAAGTAATTGGACAATTGACTGACAGCAGTTTCATGACCAATTGAGGTCCGTTGCCTTGTTATTCCATGACAAGTTAATCCAAACGTTGTATTTTGTAGCTGTTCACAGGAAATTTCAGAATGAGGTGCAGTGAGATGCTGATGCAAGCAGTGTTGCCAACTCCTCAGTAAGGAAAATCGCTATTGGCTGTCCTAAAAGTCGCTAGAAGTCGCTAAATGATGCCATCGCCTAATTTGCATAATTGGTCAGGCTAATGTAATTGTAACCAATGTTGTAGGCGAGAAAAATAACATTGTGGAGGAGACATAAAGGGAGTAAAAAACGTCCTAAATGCATTTAGAATTTATTTAGAACTACAAATTAAATTTCTTTTAGCAATTATTGTTTTTTT